AGAGGAGCATGCAATGTTCTTATCACTTCCCAGAAGGAAGATCTCCTTCTTCCTTCACAAAAATGTTAAGCTTCCTAAACCAAGAGGAACCTGGACAGGATGCAGCTGGTGGCCTGGGTCCTCCTTCTGGGACCCATGGGGAGAGGGAGCAGGATGGCAGCTGTTGAGGGAGGCAGAGAAGGGAGAGCAGGGGAGGAACGAGCAAGGGAAACCAGGTGCAGGACCTCAGCTGCAAGAAATGCACTCCCCCCTGCCCACCCACCCCTGCATTAAGAAGAGAGAGGATCCCCAGCAGGGCAGAGTGGCCCCATGACCTCGAGGCTGCTGGCCCACCCAATGCCACTGTGCAGGGCAGGTGGCCCTGTCCCTGTGGGAAGCTCTGAAAATGTCCCTCCTCATACAGCTAACATCCCTGGACAGAGACATGCACTGCATGGGGCAGGACAGGTGACCTTGGAAAAGCCAAGTTCTAGAGGCAAGAAGTCTAGGGCGTCCTGGACACAGGTCACCCCTGCCATGTGGAGGAAGCTCCCTGAGACCCCACAGACACTGGGGACACACCCAGGTTCCTGGATGTTTCTTTTCTTTTTGAAGGGTTTGGGCTGGTGGCTAAGATGCCCACATCCCACATAGGGTGCTTGAGAATGGTTCTCAGCTGCTGCTCCTGACTCCAGCCTCTCGCCAGTGCGGCCTGTGGGAGGCAGCAGGTGATGGAGCAAGTGCCTGGGTCCCTGCCCTCTGCCTGGGAGACCCAGATGGAGCTCCCGGCTCCTGACTCTGGCCTGGCCCAGCTCTGGCCGTTGTGGCCATTTTGGGGTGAGCCAGCAATGGAAGCTCTCTCTCTAATATTTTTAAAAATCATAAAAAGAAGCATAAAAGAAAGTCCTTTGTGTGGTGGCACAGTTCAATAAAGTGAGGGCAAAGACAGTATTTTATGGAGAGAGGTATGGATGTGGAACCAAGCACACCTAAGGCCTCACTCCCGTCTGACCATGGTGGGTCATCCCCAGCCTGGGGGGCCAAGTGACCTAGCACAAGCCAGCTGGAGTGAGGACCCCAGTCTGGGTATTAGACACCACACAGCCTGCAAGGTCAAAGACCAGCCAGCAGGGTAATAGGCGTTTTCAGGAGACGCGAGTCCGGGGATCTTTAGGGAAGATGGCTATTTACCATGGCCAGATGTGCTGCCGTTGGAGCAGACTGCGGAGGGAGCCAGGTGCACGCCTCTGGCCAGCGGCCTCGGCTCACCCGACCCCGAGCTGCCGGGTCCAGCAGTGGGGAACCCAGCTGGCATCTGGCTCAAGAGAAGACTGGAGAGGAGTGTGTGAGGACAGACCCCCTTACCCCGGAAGGAGGATGACTTCTGGGTAAGGAGATAAGGATGCCAAAGGGCAGGTCTCAACAGAGGGTGAGAGTTGCAAAGGAAGGGAAACTGAGGCTGGAGGGCAAGGCAGCAGCTGAGCATCCTGGGCTTCTCTGCTCCTGCCCTGGACAAAGACAAGTCCCCGAGCTACTCTTTTGAGAGGGGCTTTGCACAGCACTGCAGTGTCATTTGTCGCCTTAGACCATCCCCACGGTTGGGGTCTCCCACTCGGAGTCCTGAATCCTGATTGGAAGCAGATACCAAATATTCCCAGGGGAGCCAGACCTCCCATTTCTCTGCCTTCTCCCTCCCAAAACTCAGGCCTGTGACCTCACTCTGATGCCCACACAAACGGAACCAAGAGCAAACGATGCAGCAGGGCCAAGGGCGAGAGCAGCAGCAGGCGCCACAGCAAGGTCTCAGACGAGCCAGGCCTAAGGTGCTGACCATGACCCATTGCAGTGGCAGGGACCAGTCAGGCCTGCAGAGAGGTCTCGGGTGTTGTTGCTGGTGGCAGGGCCTCCCGAGGGGTTCCTCCAGAGACTCTATGAGTTTTCCAATACCATTGTCACACAGCCTCAGCTCACTCAGATCAGCCAGCCTTGGTTTCTGTGTTTGCAAGCAGAAGTGTGGATCAGAGGCCTGTGTGTATTTGTAGCCAGGGAGATAAAGGAGCCTCAGGGAGGGACAGACACCCACGGGAAACCGAGCACTGGCCAAGGGTCCCCAGTGTCAACCGTGTCCCTGTCCATCCCTGACTCCCGCCCAGGAAGCAATACCACCCTGGAGCTGCACAGGTCCTCAGGTTGCGTCCTCTCCCCTGGCAGCCTGTCCCATGTCTGAACTGCTCTCTTCAATGCCACCTTCCTGCACAACCCCAGGGGGCGCTGAGAGCAGCACTCCGACTGGCGACTTCTGCAGCGTGTCATGGGGGAAGATCGAGACCAGAGCCCCGAGTGAGGCCCTGGGAGATGAGAGACAGACACTCAGAGCTGGGGGCAGTAGTAAAAGATGTCCTGTTTTTCAGAGCCTGCCAGGCCCTCCTGCAATATCTCACGCCTCTGCACCCACAAATCTGCGTCCCAGCCCAAGAGGCCCCCTGCTTCCCTTGTCCTGGGTGCCCACTTGCCCTTCCCTTCATGCCGGGCATCCGCAAAGTTGCATGGGAGCTCCTGTTTGCAGGGGGTGGGAAGGGGCTGATGGATGCACGGGGAGGCAGAGGCCACCCGTGCCGGGGGAGCACAGCCCCATCTCTCTGGAGGTTGGCTGGGCCCTGTGATGCTATCAGCAGCTCCTCACACTTGCCCTGCTGCAGCCAACACAATCAGAGTCACAGAGACGCCCTGGGGCTGCACTGCCCCAGCAGGCCCACGCCTCCATCCCACCCTCTCTCGGGGCGGCAGGCCAGGGAGCCAGCAACTAGTATCAGGCTTCAACTGGCTGCTCTCCAGGCAGCGCCCGCCGGCCTGTGCCGGGCCCGCAGCCCAGCCTGCCCACAGGCGCTGGCCACCATCTGGGCAGAGGGGCCTCAGGGCTGAGCCTGTGAGCACCCACCAGCCACCCTGCTGTCCCGCCCCGGTGCTGCCTGAGCGGATGGTGGGGGGGCCTGAAACCCCCCAGGTCCCAAAGACCTCCAAGTCGGCCCCAGGACCCTTTCCATGAGGCAACGTGAAACCCAAGCCCTCAGGCCGACACAGAACGTTTTGAACAATCTGAGGGGAAAAAATTACTCGAACCAATTTCAAGACATCTGAGAGCCGGAGGGAACATCGCAGCCACCGCTCCGGGCGCTGCTGCCGCTGCTTGCGCCAAACCCAAAGGGCTGGGACTTGAGCGCGGGAGGCGGGGGTCCCCATGCGCCTCGGGCAGGGACTGGCCTGGCGCCCGGGCCTTGAGGCCTCCGGGCACAGTCTCTCCTCCGTGACTGTTCCGGCCCACTCCTCTGCACTCCCATTGTGTGTGGCCCATGCCCTCGCGTACCACCCAGCCGCGATGGGAGCCTTTTGTGTCTCCAAGGCAGCGTAGACAAGGCCTCCCGCTAAACCCTCACTGGTCCCCCCAAGACCCTGGGGCAGGCTCCTCGGTACGCGTTGCACCGTGTGGTCCTACCCTGCACTGGGCTCCAAGCAGAGAGCTTCCAACAGGTCCCCTCCGTCAAGGCACCCCCGCCTGCCTAACAGCTGGGGACACTGAGGCTTGGCAGGTTTAAGCTTCTCGCCCTATGGCACAGCCCCTGGATGCTGGGCCGGGATTTGGGAGCAGGCAGTGAGGTGCACAGAGGCTGCATCTTAACCCTTCGCCAGCACATCTTGGGCAAAAGGGCAGTCATGGCGGGCAGCAGCTCTGCTGGGGCGAGGGCAGGGTGGAGAAGTCACTGCCCTCCAGGGTGAGCAGAGACGCTCCTGGAATGTGCGGGAAGGAGAAAGGGTGGAGCCGGGGCCTGGTGTCTGCACAGGGGTGTGACTTGAGGGCGCAGGCTGGTATTTCAGGCCAGGCTCAGCAGCACTGCTGTCGCTGTCCTACCACCCCCAGC